GCAAAAGCAGGGAAGACTGAAGAGGCGGTGGTTGGTTGGTTGGGGCTAAAGCCTTAAAAAAGGGGGTTCACACGGTCGCCATCAAGTACACCCCCCATCGCTGTTGAGAATTTTGCGACCTTACGTGGCGGGTCACCATTGGTTTCTCCCGAGAGTTGTCATCCTCTGCTTCGGACTCCGCTGTTCATCAGATGTGAACGAATCAACGAGCGGAACGCAGGAACATGTGGGGCCCACTCTCCCTAGGGATTGTAAACACAACAATTATTTGGGAGGCTACCCCAATTGAGAAAGGCAGTATGTATGTGGTAACAGAGCGTGGGGCCCACTGCATCAACTTGCGAGGTCGTCATTCACTCTTGCCGCCTCATCTCAACCGTTGCTTTGGTCGTTCATTTCTTTTTTTTATATTATTATTTATTACTAGTATTATTTTTTAGATTCATTTATTTAAAATTATACTCATCTGGTTCTTAATATAAAACTCATTTAATTAATTTGATTAAATTAAAAAATTTAGGTAAGTTAGTTAATTATAAAAAATATAACATGTTTTTTCTAAAATACTATAATCTTTCTTGATATTTCATCTCCCTCTTCTACTTAATTATGGTTGAGGGAGTATTCATAGGGGTAATTTAGAGAAAATTGATAAATATGAAAAATAGGTCTTATATTTAGAATAAAAACTAACTCAATAATAGGTCTTATATTTAGAATAAAAACTAACTCAATAATTGGATCCTATATTAAGAATCAGAGGAGTATCACATTTATTATAATTAACTAATTTATATGATTTTATAATTCACACAGATTAACTAAATAACTTTTGTTACAATTTACTATCAATAAACAGATTTATATAAGTCGAGAAAAAACTTATTTTACATACTTACCTTATATTTTGTAAATCACGATTAAAAAACTACTTATTAATCATTTCTAACAAGTCATTAAAAATAGGTTGAAAGAATAGCTATTATGATTAAAATTAAGCAATAATTATGTGGTTGATTAATAATCCATGTCTATATAATATATCGCTGTTTTTTTTTTGGAAAAAAATTATCTTGGTACAGAGTGCTATATCATATCAATTATATTTTGACTAATGCAGAATCTTAAATCAAATAAAATAATCACGTTTAGTCCTTTTAATATATATAGGAAAAATCATAAAAAATGCATTAAAAATATAAAAATTACAAATAGAGACTGTTATAATATTAGCATTGGTTTTGACAATACTTTTATGAACGGGTCTTGTAAGCAAGTTTTTAATTTTCAAGGGCATCTTTGTGATTTTCTCATATATATATATATATATATATATTCCCTCCTTATTTAAATATTTTTTAATTCTCTTTTCACACATGGATTATATTTATTGGAGAGAGTATAAATAATGTGGCAATTTAATACAAATATATAATAGTATTATTGGATTTACGAAACTTCACCTGTTGGAAACAATACTTCCTTGATAGGCCCCAAAACTTTTTCATTTGTCAAATTATTTAAGGAAAAAGACAAAAAAAAAACTTGAAAATTGTGAAATCACAATTCAAGCATTTAACACTCCAAAATCTTAGGAAAAAAATGACGCTTGATTTGATATTTTGTAAATTTAGTTAAATGACTAAAATGCCATTGTTTTCAAACTTGTTATTGCTATTATTTATCATTTACTATTCAACACTTGTTATTATTAACTCATAACTTGTCAATAAATTTTTTGAAACAAAAGTATTTTAGTTATTTAACTATATTTATAAAATATCAAATCGGGCACTACTTTTTTTCTTTGACTTTTAAAGCGTTAAGTGTCTGAATTGAAATTTCACAATTTTCAGATTTTTTTATTATTATTTCAATTATTTAACTTAGGCTATTTCTTTTATAAGATTATGTTTTTATTACTCTGCCAAAAAAAAATTGAACATAATCCAAGAGTATCTAAATTTGTCAGTAAAATACTAAATTCTAAAAAAAAAAAATCAAGTATCCAAACTGGGATATTGAAAATTTTGGCCCATGTCTCATTTATCAATTTGATCCCTAAAATTTAATTTTTATTAATTAAGTTCCTAAAATTTTATTCTTAATTTTATATTCTTATTTAATATCAGCAGACCGACAATTTTCTTCTGCAATCGATGAAGAGGTTTTCATCCTTAAGTTAGTGGTTAGACCACATACGTGATTAAAATTTTATATCTTTAAATCATAAGAACTAAATGCATGTGATTATGAAATTTCAGGGACTTGATTCATAAAAATCAAATTTCAATGACTGATCAATAATTGGGGCCAACTTTAGGGAGTGTCATTATTGCATTAAAACTTGATACACTCGCAGCCTAAAATTAATTTGAAGAAAGTAACATTAAAATATTATTAAACATTTTTCAAAGTTAAAAAAAAAAGCAGAGACAATGCACCAAAAAAAGAAAAGGAAAGATATACTTTCGTCAGCTTCAAAATATGACTTTTTTTTTATAAGTATTAATTTAAATTTGTCTGATCATTTAATAATTTTTTATTTTTATCTGTAATTAATTATATGTCTCTCTTATCTCTTGTTTTTTTAATTATTCTTTTTCATCTCTTTTATGATTCATTGTCTCTTCTATTTATCTTCGAGTATTTAAAAAAAATAAGTCACATTATTACATTTTATTATTTTTAATTAATTTTTTTATTTGCATGATTTAGTTATTTAATGTTTATATTTTGAATCATAGCTAGTACAGCATGAAGAAATTCTCGGTATCACTACAGTAACAATAATCTTTGTCACGTTAAATAAAGTTGACTACATACATCATATATCATCAAATTCAATAAATAAAAATTTAATAAAGTTTTACGTTAACAGTAGACAGCATAGTAACGCAATCTTTTTTTGTTTATTGGGACTAATGCGACTAGCTATGAAGTAGCATAGGTAGAGTTAAGCATTATGTATAAAAATACGTTAAATATAAATAATACTAATTGAATAAATGGGACAATTATATATATATATATATTTAACGTGAAACCAAGAAATGAACGTATGGTATATATTATTAGTTAGAACTAAAAGTCAAATATAAAAGAACAAATAGCAATAAATTGAAATTAAATGAGGACAATCATCATTTTCAGGAATAGTGCAGAACAGGTGAGGTTCCATTATTCACGATGAGCTGCCACAGGCTCCAAACAAACTCAAATATTATAAACAAATCGTTTAATCATAAATGCTTCGCAACTATATGCATAAATTAAGCAATATTAAAAAAAAGATGGCAAAAAAAAAAAAAAAAGAACGCAGGAAGCAAGACAACAAAAATTTATATGCCAGGATTTTTTTTTATATAACTTAGAATATTCTCAAATTATTTTAGACTTAAGACTAATCTTATTAGACTAGGACCATTACAACAAATACGCTTTTCTGAATTTGAGCTTGTATTTACCTCCTTATAATTAAACTGCTTATCATTTTAACCAACAACTTATTGTTATATAGATGAACTATTTTTTTAATACACATATGGCATTATGAAATTTACTTAGGTACAAGTTAATAAAATTTTTAATCTCTCAAGTTTATTTTTATTTTGGTTCTAGTTTTAAACGGTATGTTTTGGTCTTTTAAATTTTTTTATATTTAAAATATTAGTTTTATAATTTAATAAAAATTTGAACTATTTTATCTTTTAAGAGATCAAAATTTGAGGAACTAAAAATTATATTAACTTTAGAAATACGCATAGATTTTCTAAACCAAAACAAAACTCACGTGTCCATTAATTGTAACTACATTGACCATTTGCAGAGAGAGAAAACATGTCTACTGTTAACAGAGATAAGAGTTTTCCTATCTTTTAGAAGATTCATATATACTTTTTTTTTTTTTAAATGATAACTAGAAAACAAGCAACAAATACAAAGAAACAGACTTAACCTGGCAATTCTTACACTCCTTGATCGGCCCCGCCCCAGAAACGTTGGGAAGAGGTTGATCAAAGAGGCAAAAATTGCCATCAATCCCATGAGAAGACTTTGCTAAGTGGTCTGCTAAGGGAATCGATTCCCTCCCTACATGGCAAAATACAGTCAACCAATCTCTATTAATAAACAAGGAGAAAATATTTTATCAGTTACAATATTAACTTTTTTTTTACCTTTTATTTGTTATTATGTGAATTTTTATTTTTATAAAAAATATATATTAAATAAAAACAAAGTTAGAAATTTCTTAAATCTTGTAAATTTTATGATTTTTTTTTTTGGCCAAGTAAATTTTATGATATTAGATACGCATTAGATGGGAGTATACTTTATGGGTATTTTTACTCTTTTAACCCTATAAAAAAACCATTTGAATTAAATTTGTTTATTTAAAAAAGTGCACAGAAACCTGATAGAGCGTGTATTATATAATGAGAGGCAACTTTTTCTGTAGTTGCAGTATCCATAAGCACATACCCTCCAATCACAGCTCACTAGTTTCATTCGTCTCACCTTTTTTAAATCTTCCCTTTTTCCTCTCTCAAGATTATTGCAAAGCTTGTTTTTATTGCTTCTTCTTTCCTTCTAGCTTGCTTCTTTATATTTCGCCTTTTCTGGGTTTTCTTTCTCTCACTCCCTCTGTTCTTCAAGTGCTTGCTTCATTCACTCTCAGTTTCTCGTGTTTCCTTGTTTGGCCTCTTGCAAATTCATTGTTTTACGTTGTTTTGCGTCCCCAGCTGAGGAAGAGAATCTGTTTCTAAGAAGTTTCTAGTTTTTTCTGGGTTTGTGTTCCTCATGGCGTTGTTCTGTTGATATCCAAGTGGGAAGTTGATTATCTTCAGATCTCTCAATTGTGATTCTGGGGTTATCTCTGTGGAGTAACTGGATAACAGATTTCCATCTCAATTTGGGGATTTTTTCGCCTTCCTTTTTAATTTTCTAAAGTGGTTTTTTTCTAGATTCCCTATGCCTGGATACAAAAGAGATTCTGATTCCTTTCAAAAAAATGCTAGTGGGTTTGTCCTTGATAATATTCTTGAGTTGAAAATCTCTTCTCCATCTCTTCCCTGTTTCTCATCAAATTAACTGAAATCCTCGTTGTTTCAGAGATCACTCTTCTTCTTGAATTCTCCCTGATTCACTTCCATGCTTCAATAGCTTTCTCTTCCTTTTTTCTCTTCTGATTGGATTTGATGAAGTGGGAAATGGATATTCTCTCATCTTCTTCTCATATCTCAAATCCCACTTGGCTCATTCAAGACGCCATGAACACAACAAAATGGACTCCTTCAGAGAACAAACTGTTTGAGAATGCTCTGGCAGTGTATGATAAAGACACACCAGATCGGTGGGTGAAAGTTGCTGCAATGATACCTGGGAAGACAGTAGGAGATGTGATTAAGCAGTACAGAGAATTAGTAGAAGATGTTAGTAACATAGAAGCTGGATTGATCCCAATTCCAGGTTATAACAGTAGCACCACAACCTCACAATTCACCTTAGACTGGGTTAACTCTTCTGGATTTGATAACTTCAAATCACATGGTGGAAAGAGATCCTCATCAGGGAGACCCCCTGAACAAGAAAGAAAGAAAGGTGTCCCATGGACAGAAGAAGAACATAAGTAAGACTTTTCTCCTTTTAGAATCCTTTTGATTGAATAGATACATATGCACATACATGCATGTGTTTGTTGTTGAGAAGACTTGATATAGTTTATTCATTCTCTGAGATCTTTTTGTTTCATGAAGTTACTCTCTGTGTGTGTGTGTGTGTGTGTTTATATGTGGCTAGTTTTGTGCTGATTTGTGATCTGTGCGCCAACTGTTTGATGAAATTCTTCGCAGACTGTTTCTTCTGGGTTTGAAGAAGTATGGGAAAGGAGATTGGAGGAACATATCGCGCAATTTCGTGGGGACTCGAACACCAACTCAGGTGGCTAGCCATGCTCAGAAGTACTTCATAAGGCAGCTTTCAGGGGGGAAAGACAAGAGAAGAGCAAGCATTCATGATATAACAACAGTGAATCTGTCAGAAACCACAAGAACACCTTCTTGTTCATCTTTAGAAGACAACAAAAATAACAGCAGCAAAAATGGATGTAACACAAAGCAGGAGGCAAATCCGAGTACTACTTTAGGTCAAGCACATTTTCAATGGAACCAGGCAAATTCAGGAGGAGGAACTATGGGGTTTAATCCTTATGGGGTTAACTCTTATGGGATGAAAATGCAGGGTCAAAATCTGCATAGAAGTGATCTTTTTAATAATCATGATTCTTCCTACTTTGGACCTCAAACTCAGAACATGGTTTTCCCAATGCATTCTTCTGCTCACTACTTTTCTCATGCTTTATAGTTAATTGATATATGGCTCTTGTATTGAATCTTTAATGGCTACAATCATTACTCCCCCCACTTTTTTTTTTTGGTTCAGTACACTATGTTTTCTTACAAGTTCTGTGTGAATACCATAAGTTGGAATTTTGAGTAAATTTTTAGCTTACTCTTGAAATATCAATTCATGTCATACGAACTCTAAAGAAGGTCCCCAAACCTCAAGTGTCCCAATTAGAAAATATTGAGAGTCAATTATATTCAAGGGACATAGAATTCCCTCACCCCTTTTTACTACTTGACTCAAGTTGTGTTGATTATTTATTTATGCAATTATTATTTAGGGAGCACTTGCATTTGCTTATTTTAAGTGATTTTATGTTATACGAAATAAATATATGAATTTTTTTCCTCCAAATGGAGACAAACAAACAGTCAATAACTTTTTTTTTTTAAATCTCATTTTGTTACGCTTTAAAGGGAAAAAAAAATCATTATGTCAAATAGGGAGTGCTTAATTTTTCTTATTAGAAGCGAAGGCTCATAATTCAGATCTTGCAGGCATGAGAAAAAATAACATTCTCAACACTATAAAGTTGCATTAAAAAAAAAGCATTTATTTTTACTGGTCAAAACATGTTTTTTGAAATTTTTTATAACCCATTTGCCCCTTTATATTCTATGCACGTGGCAGAACCTTGACGGGTCAAGATATGGTCAGACTAATGTATCTTCATATAATCTCATGGGAGGGGAAGTTTCAACGCAAAGAACTTACCAACTTGGGTCATGTTTGTTATCCAGAATCTTGGGATTTAAGGCAAAGCTCGGGAGTGGAATAACATATAAAATATTTAAATCAAAGTGATAAAACAGTAATGTGAAGTGTACTGTTCACTAGAATTGTATTCAAAGCAAAAATAATAATACAATTGGGAGGTCCATATGCATATGATTTGATACCTCAAAGCATTTAGCAATGGTTCTTCAAAGATAAGATTAAGATGCACACAAAAGAGACATATATAAGATGGAGTCTTCAATCAAAAGTTGAATAGTAGGAACATGCTAAACAAAACAAGAGTATCTATATACATAAAGTGACTCTCATGCCAAACAAAGTTAAATTAAATTAAAGTTAATCAATATTATTGTTTATCTCAAAGTATGATCTCTCTACAACTTTCCCAATTGCATGGAGATCTTGTGATCTCTTTAAAAAGACAAAGATAGATATGGGTTTGAGTATTATTTTGGCTTCTTGTTCATCAGCATGGAATACTTTAAACTGGGTTTTGTGAATTGGAACTATCTTGGCACTTGTTTGGATCAAACTTGTATAGAGTATGAGCTCGCTTATTCTTTTTTTATAGTTACGTGACAATCACTTGAAAAAAAGAAGTCTTGACTCTTATTGATTCTATATTAATTTTAAAGTGATGTTAAAAATCACTTTTAACTAATACCGAAAAAATACTTTCTATAGTGGTGAATAAATCAAAATTAAATTGGCTATATTATGTTAGCCAAGCTAACCGGCCCTGTTTGGACAGCAGGGCAAACCATGGTTTGGGGAAAAAAACAACCCAAATAGGCACAAATTATCTGAAACCATGGTTTGGGTCAAAACCATGGTTTTGGAACCCAAAACCATGGTTTCGGAAGAAGTGACTCCATTCTGCTTCTGGCTTAAATTGGAGAGTATGATTGTGCTTATTATAGTAAATCTCAACAATAATATGACTTTAACACCCCTTAATTAATTTTTTATAAACATATTTAATCTTATATCTTATAAATAAATATACACATATTAATTATTTATTAATTATATTATCTTATGTATTATTAATTATGTTGGTAAAAAATATATTATTAACAATTTTATTCCTTCAAATTAAAATATATCATACAATCTATGTTTTATGTAATTATCATATTAACTTATGTTTTTTTTAATAATTTGTACATATAAAAAGTGCTTCTGATAACAACTATCCAAACACTCTCACTTCTCAGAATCACTTTTTCACAAAATCTATTCTTCACAAAATCTATTTTTTCCAGAATCTATTCTCCAGAAGCTATTCTCCAAACCATGGTTTGATTTCATCCAAACACACCCTTAAGTCTCTGTACACTTGGTCCTGATGCAAAAGTATTTTCGCTGAAAAATGGGATTAAGATATGATCAAAACACATTATTAGGATTCCTATTTATAAGTTACAAATATTAGAAGTTGTTACAAAGGAATTTAAAAATATATTCCTCTGATTCTAAATATAAGATCTATTTAACTAATTTGATTAGATTAATATAGTTATGTAAGTTAGTTAATTATAGGAAATATGTCATGATTTTCCTAAAACATTCTGGTCCTGTTTGGTACGAAATATTAAAAATAAGGGATAGGGATTGATATTGAAAGTGTAAAACTATATTAAAAGAGTGTTTAATTAGTATGAGTAATTGTATGATACTTGGGATTATACAAACCCATATATATGGGATTGGAGGAATACTATGAGGGGAGGTGGTATTCTTCAGTCCTATCTATATGGAATTACCTAATCCTATGTGATAAGAAATTACTCATGCTAAGTATCTTTTTAACATATGTTTTCAACTCCAATCCCAATCTTTATCTCTTATTTTTAATACTTCGTACCAAACGTAACATATAATCATCTTTCTTAATATCCTCCCTCCCTCTTTTACTTGATTATGGTTGAAGGAGTATCCATGAGGGCAATTTAGAAAAAATTGATAAATATGAGAAATAGGTCTTATATTTAAGATTAAATCAATTTAATAATTAGGTCATATAAGGACCGGAGGAGTAATATAAAAAATTTATAATTAGATAAATACAAGATTCACAGGGTTTGAGTTTAATTTCGTGATTTTATGGGACTTGCGTGCTTTTTAACAAGCCTATCTTAAAAGTTTGAATTAATTAAAGAAAAATAAAAGTTGACTTAAACATCCTTTAATGGTGAATGTTACTAAATTAAAAGAGACTACAAAGTATTAAAAACAAAAAAAAAAAATCTAAAAGCATACTTTAGGATTCTACTTCTCCTAGTGAAAGTTTGTGTGTGAAAAATTAAGGGTTTGGATTCTAATTCAAAATTGGATGAGTCACAAAGCACTCTGATTGAGGTATAATGGCATCTGATTCCATACTTTATTGTCTTCACTTTTCGAATTTTGGTGCCCCACAATTTTTATTTTTATTCATATAAACTTTTAGATTTTCTATTAAGTCTCTTGTGTGATAAGTTTAAGAACACTCTCGTGTAACACACACAAGAAAGACCAAAAAGGGCGAATTTCACCTAAAAAACATTGTGTCTTCATCTATAAGGGTTGGGCTGAATGCAATAGTTTGATAGTAATTAAATAAGATTGAGAATTTAAATTTTCACTACTAGAAAAATACCATTTTACACCGCCTAATTTATCACAATTATTTCGCCAACGATGTAATAAATGAGATGGTGATATTTTTGTAAATAACAATATAGTTGTTACATTGATTATTATTACGCCCAGTGTTATTATTACTTTTTATATTGAACATTAACCCAACCAGTGTAAACATAGTTAAATGATATCGGTAGTTATAAACAACTGATATTACTAATCCTTACATCAACCTATCTCTTGCTTTTTTGTTTTCCTGAAGTAATCTGAACTCGAATTGTCACCATGTCCTGTCATCGTCCATTTAGGATTAGAAGCCAATTGTACTTTCCCTGTTCTATCATCTTTGTTTACTACTGTTGGCACTACCACAATGGTGAAACAGCAGAAAATTACCCGCACACGTCCTCCATCATTTCCTCCTCCGCCTCCCTACCATCCTCCCTTGCCTCGGCCTCTGCCTCTGTGGCTCTGCTTCCACCTCTGCGGCCCTGTCTCTTTTTGACCAACTACTTGTAAGAGTAGCAGCGATTGATCACAACCTTTGACGCGTGGTGTCTCATTTCTACAACCTCAACAACAAGGTCAATTTCCTACTTGATGATAGGCACATCGAGTATGATGACATGGATGATCCTTTTACTACCTCCTCCTCCTCGTTCGATGAAGAAATCTCCTCCTCCTTAGGTTATTAGCTTTTTTCTATTGTAAAAATATAGTTTTTTAATAAAAATATTTTGTAAAGGTTGCCTTCGCGTCCCCCACTAATTATATATAAATATATATGATATTTTGTGATGATCTACTCTTGTGTTTGTTCCTTTTAATGTATTTTCTCTTCTCAATTTATAACAACAAACCCTAAAAATGGGTTGGAAATCATTCCTGGTTTAAAAAAAGAGAAGAACTGGTAAATGGTTATTTTTTTTGGGAGTCTTTATGCCAGGTGTTGTCAAGTTTGATGTAACATTTAAAATAAACATCGGTTATTTTGTGTTCGATGTAAAATGAGTTTTTAACATCGATTTTTATGTTAATCGTTGTTAAAATTTTTCCCTAGCCATAAATAGGGCCCTCTTGCCCTCAATTTCACAGTCTCAGAATATAGAGAGGTGTGCTCTCACCTGTGGATTTGTGTGGAGATGGCATGGTTTTTTCAAGTCGTCTTATGTCGCTCACCATTACCATCTTTGTCCATTCCCTCCACTGTTCTATTCTCGCTATAGGTAACATCATTGCCATTTTATTTCTCTCTTGAACTGTTTGTCTAAACCCTAATACCAGTCTCTTTTTGTTTAAGATCAGCTTTGAATTTCTGTCCATTAAAGGTTGCAAGTTATCTTAGGTTTGAGGCATCATCGCCGTATTTGGTTTATTAAACAGGATGAGAAACTTTGTCAAGTATTTGGACATTCAAGTATGATCAAATCCGAGCTATAGTTCCTTGAAGAACCAAGTACTTGTTAAAGACCTAGCTCATCCTTGCAAAATGAATTGGCCTTCGTTTTCTTTCTCCCTGTCTACCACTAGTAACTCATCTTCTATAATTTTCTTTCTCTTTCATGAGCTATTTTCCTAAACCCTAATACTAGTTAGTGGTTAACTGCTAGACTTTGTTAGTTGTTAACTGCTAAACTTTATGTTTTCACAATTTGTTTTGTTCAACAAAAGAAATATTTAGTAATCAGAAGAACTGGCTAGTATAAAAAAAATTAAATTAAAAAAGGTCCA